GCGGGGATCCATCGATTGTGGAGTGGGAAGGAAACACGTACCGGCACCTCCTCATGATGGCTCTCTGCACGGATGGCTCATATTACGTGAACAGGTCTTTTGCGTCTTGGAAGTATTGGTCTGACAGTGCGCCAATTTCCCGCGTGTGGGGCAACTCACGTGATCGAAAAAGGGAGGGCGTGCGAAGTGGATTCATCACTGCAACCATCGATGGAAAGAAGGTGATGCTGCTCACCACGCCGGTGTATTCTGAGGAGAAGGGAGAGGGTCGGCTGCATCTTTGGATGACAGACAATGCCCGTGTGCACGACGTTGGGCCGGTGTCTCGCGAAGGTGATGACGCCGCCGCCAGCTCCCTGCTGTACAGAAGCGGCAAGAAGGAGTTGATTTTACTGTACGAGAAGAAGAGCGGAGATTCATACAGTCTTGTGGCCGTGAGCCTGACTGAGCAGCTGGAGCAGATAAAGAGCGTGGTGAAGGCCTGGAATGATGTGGACACCGCACTAAAAAACTGTGCCTCCACTGACACTGTTGACTCGCGGATAAAGAATGTTTGTAAAGCTGCTGTTCCCACGGAAGGGCTGGCTGGCTTTTGGTCCAACAGTTTAGAGGGTAATTTATGGAAGGACGAGTACCTCGGAGTGAACACAATGGTGCGTGGTGGGAATGTGGCAGGCACGGAGGGGGGCGTGAGGTTCCGAGGCGCAGCAGCGCGGGCGAAGTGGCCGGTGGGCAACAAGGGGCAGTTCCACCCGTACTACTTTGTGAACAATGACTTCACTCTTGTGGCGACGGTGATGATTAACGCGGTGCCGAAGACAGAGGGTCGTGTTCCTTTGATGGGTGTGAGGATGAATGACAATGTCAGCACTGTGCTTGTTGGTCTGTTCTACACGAAGGACAAGAAGTGGGGAGTGACTGTCAACGGAAACTCTCGGGGGTTGCCAGATAAAGATGTTACGTGGCAGCCTGGCACAACGTATCAAGTGGTACTGAAAAGGGATTGGAATGAGTTTTATGTGTACGTTGACAATAATGAGCTTATTCAGGAGCAAGTTTCGCCCTTTGAGTACACCCCACGCGGTGTCTCGGACTTCTACGTTGGCGGCGACGGTGCGAAGGGGACAGGCGAGGTTGACGTGACGGTGGGCAGTGTCCTGCTGTACAACTACGGACTTTATGCTGATAGGCTCACGAGCCTCAGTGCCAGCAAAGTCTCACTTCCAACACCGGCTGGTAAGGGGCCACTCACAACGCTGGGGACTGATGGGAAGATTGCCTCCAAGCTCAAACCTAGAAAAAAGAAGGTTGGTGACGGTTTGAAGCCTAAAGGACCTCTACCAGAGGAGGCCCATAAAGGCAATCACAGTGCTGCTGAGGAGTCGGGGTCTTCGTCGGTTTCGTCATCGCCAAGGGTGCGCCTGGCTGACGGTGGGCCCGAATACACCAGCGCGATTCTTGCGAAGGACGCATCCAACATTTCTCTTTCTGGTGACAGCTCCGTTGCTTTCGACAACCTTACACGTGTGAGGCCCGATTCAGGAAGGGGTGACGGCACGATGCGTGGGTGTGTGTCTCGGCTCTTTCTGCTGCTATTGGGGCTATGGGGCTTTGCAGCCCTGTGCTGAGTGAGCCCCGGTGGAGCGGAGTTTGTGCTTCTACTGAGAGCATCTCCGTCTCTCCACGCGCTTTCAGAAGTAAATAAAGTCTCATGTAGTTACACATTTTGTGTGTGTGTTTTTTTACACATGGCGTTTTTTTTTTGACCCACAAATTGCGCACTCCTCTCGGCGCCAGTACAACGGGGTCCTCATGTATTTTATTTCCTCCATTTTTGTTTTTTTATATTGTTCGCTTCTAGCAATGACTGGAGGCGAATCACCGTTCTTTTTTTGTGTGTATTTGTTCAGTGCTTTGTTGGTTTACTGCTTTACGGACGTGTTTTTTTTTTTGGTTTGCCGGTTGTTGTTTTGTCGGTTCGTTCTTGACGATTGCGTTACGCCTGCGTGTTTGCCGGCAGTATGAGATGCTTTACGGCGCCCCGCACTGCGGTCGCTGCAGGAGGGACCGGGGCTCTCTCTTTTACGTCTTGGTTTTTGGGTGTGTGTGGACGTGTGCCACGGTGCTGGCTGACGCGTAGGCCATCGAATTCGTTTGAAAAGACACGAATAAAAACAACTAACCGCTTTTCTTGGGCGACTGCGGACGCTCACGGCATTGTGTGTCCGCCGATGGGAGATGGAAGG